CTCTCCTCCTCCTCATCCTCCTGACCTTCTCAGCTCCTCCCGGAGGCTGCAGCTGTCAAGGATGCCATGGGTCAGACGCCCTCGCAGATCGTCAAGGAGGTGGCGGAGGACCTGCTGTCTCCTTTCACCCTTGAAATCCTCTCCTCCCTCCTCCAGGTCTCCTTTCCCTTTCCTTCCTCCTCCAAGTCTCTCCTCCCTCTCCTCCACCTTCTCTTTCCTTCTCCTCTCCTCCTCCTCTCCTCTTCCCGTCTACCTTCTGCTCTCCTGACGTCCTAGCAGCAAACCAGCGGCGAGGTGTTGGGCATTGACATTGGAGGAGGCTACACCAAGGCTGGCAGCTGGAGTGAGGGGCGGGTCGAGATGATCTACAACGAGCTCTCGTCCGCCTCCACTCCCTCCTGGATCCTCGCGCGCCACAGCGACATGGTCGTGGGCAGCCACGCCAAGGAGGAGGCGCACGCGAACCTGGGGAGCGTCGCGTACAACATGAAGCGCTTCCTCGGGCGACGAGCCGACGACCCGTTCCTGACGTCGGACAGGAAGCGAGTCCTGTGCAGCACCAGCCTGCGGCAGAACAAGCTCTGGTACGTCATGGAGCGCGAGCGAGGGCCCGTGGAGATGCTCCCCGAGCAGCTGCTGGGCCTCCTGCTGGAGCGAGTCAAGCGAGACGCTGAACGTCAGCTGAACAAGACCATCTCGCACGCCGTCGTCGCGGTCCCTCCGCACTTCAATCGCGAGCAGCGACAGGTGATGGAGGAGGGAGATGGAAACGAGGTTGTGGTGGAGGAGTAGGAGCAGCAGCAACAGCGGGGGCATGGGGAGTCTAAGCCGATGCTTGTGCAGGCGGTGGAGCGAGCGGCGATCTTGGCAGACCTCAACGTGCTGCGAATCATCCACGAGCCAACGGCAGCAGCGACGGCGTACGGGCTGGAGAGCGAGAGGAGAGGAGCGATGCTCGTGTGCGACTTCGGGGCGAGCTCCTACGACCTGACGCTCATGACGGTCGAGGATGGGATCTTTGACATCAAGGCGACAGCTGGGGATATGAACCTGGGCGGAGATCAGCTGGACGAGAGGTGAGGTGCCTCGGAAGAGCTGAGAAAATGAACGTGAGCTGGGCTGAGAAGATGAACGTGGCCAGGCTGGTGCAGTTCTGCACGGAAGAGTTCAAGAGGAAGCACGGGAAGGTAGACCCGAGCTGACGACCAGCTGGAAGCTGAGCCTCATGCAGGACATCAGCAAACTCGATGAAGCACAACGAAAGTTAAGCTACAAGTGCGAGCAAGCGAAGGTGAGGAGGAGGACGAGAACAAGGACCAGGACGAGGGAGGGGAGAGCGAGGGAGGGGAGAGCGAGGGAGGGGGCGGGAAGGAGATTGTTGAGGAGGAGTGACGGTGGAAACAGATCAGCTTGTCTGGGGTGCATCAGACGACGATAGAGGTTGACAACCTGGCGGAGGGAGTCGACTTCTTCCTCTCCATCACCCGCGCTCAACTCGAGTCTCTCTGCTCCGACCTCTTCCGTAACGCCCTCGACCCCCTCGACCGCATCCTGCGAAATGCCAAGATGACCAAGGAGGAGGTGCGAGGGAGGGCGGGGGACGAGAAGATTAGGAGGAGCAGGAGCAGGAGCAGGGGCAGGGGCAGGGGCAGGGGCAGGAGCAGGAGGAAGAAAGAAGAGAGGAAGGGAAGAGATGGAGGAGGTGAAGGAGCAGCAGGTCAACAAGGTTGTGCTGGTCGGCGGCTGCTCCAAGATCCCCAAGTTTCGTGCTCTGCTCGAGAGCTACTTCCAAGACCAGGAGATCCTCAAGCACGTTGACCCCCTTCACGCCATCGCCCATGGCGCCGCCATCCAGGCGAGTCGCGGGAGGAGGCAGGAGAAGAAGCAGAAGGGGAGGAGGGCTGGTGGTGGTTGGGGAGAAAGAAGAGGAGAGAGGAGGAGGAGGAGTGAGTGAGTGAGTGGGTGGGTGGGTACAGGCGCACGTGATCTCCGGGAGGAGGGTGATGAAGGAGGTGGAGGTTAGCCTGACTGTCGCTCCTCTCTCGCTGGGCATCGAGACATCAGGAGGTGAGAGCATGAGGAGAGGAGGCTGGAGGGGTTCATAGGGCCTGACGTGAGTGGGTGGGGTAGGGGTGATGACGGCAGTGATTCATCGAGGAGAAGATCTGCCGGTGGAAGGAAAGGAGTTCACGTTACATACTGTTAGCGACTACCAGGAGGCGATCCTGCTAGAGGTCCTAGAACCCTCCCTCCCTCCCTCCCTCCCTCCCTCCCTAACCTCTCCCTCCTCCGTCCCTCCTACCCTCCCTCCCTCCCTCCCTCCCTCCCTCCCTTACCTCCTCCCTCCCTCCCTCCCTCCCTCCCTCCCTCCCTCATCTCCTCGCGGCAGGTCTATGAGGGGGAGCGTCTCTTTGCGCGCGACAACGAGCTGCTGGGGAGGCTGCTGCTTGATGGCATCCCCCTGCTCCCGCGGGGCCAGCAGGTCAGCGTCTTCTTCAGCATGGCGACCGACGGGACCGTCGAGGTCAGGGCAGTGGCGGGCAAGAAGGACCAGCAGCTGGTCATCACGAGCAACAAGGCGAGCTCCTTCCTCTCCTCCCCTCCTCGTCTTGTCTCTGCGCGTGTGATAAGCATGCAGGAGAGATACGACAAGCAGAAGGTCCGGCGGAGCATCCTCGACGCGCGGACGCACAAGGAGGAAGACGAGGCAAGACGCAAGGTCAGCACGCACCGAGCTGCATGCCGAGCTGACCAGGGCGAAGCTGGTGGATGAGAGGACGGAGGTGGAGGGGTTCGCGCACTGGCTCAAGACCTCCATCGTCCCCTCCATGTCGTCGAGCCAGGGGGAAGCGAGGAAGCGCCTGCTGGACCAGATCGAGCGGGTGAGAGGCGCGAACTCTGACCCCAGCTGACCCCCAGCAGACGCTCGAGTGGCTGCGGTTGCACCCCAACGCCCCCTCGGAGGATCTGGAGCTGCACAAGGAGGCGTTAGAGAGCGGTGAGAGTGGGGAGGAGCGGGAGGGGAGGCGGGGGGGGGGAGGAGAGCGAGGTGGGGGGAGCAGGATGGGACTGATAGGAAAGCAGCGGAGCACGAGGCCGTCAGCCAGGGGAGACAAGACGATCAGACATTGCGAAAGATTGAAAGAGTCGACTGACACAAAATTATGAGACTGAACTCTCTACCACCATCACCTCCTTCTGCTTCTCCTTCTCATCCTCATCCTCATCCCCCCCCCCATACCCATCCCCGTCACTTTCTTCTCGCTCTTCCTCCCTGTCTCACTCCAATATCGCCGCTGATCGGGTTCCTCCCGCGCTGACCGTCCTCACCCGCCCCGGCAGTGCCGTCATCGCGTGCGGCTCCCTGTAGACTTCAGTGTCTCCCTTCTCCGACTGTCCCCCTCTCTGAGCTCCCCAGCAGAAGACCTCTCCGTCCTCCGACACCGCGACCGTGTGCATGCTCCCGCACGCCACCGTCCGCATCCTCGGCAGCCCGCTGACTCGCGTCGGTTCCAGCGCGGAGGTCACGCCCTCCCCAAGGCCCAGCTGCCCGTCAGCTCCTGCACCCCACACGAGGATGTCGCCGTTGGCAGTGGCAGCGGCAGCATGGAAGGCGCCAGCAGCGACTGCCGTGACTCTCTCTCCTGCCAGCGCGACGACACGGTTGGGAGTAAAGACAGTCTTCTTCTCCCCGAGACCGAGCTCTCCGTTGGATCCGCTGCCCCAACTCCACAGCTCGTCCTTGGAGGACACAGCGAAGGTCTGGTACGCGGATGCTGTCACCAGTTTGAACCTCTCGCCTCCCTCCACCTCCACCTCCTTCGGCACGTTCTGGATGAATGCGTCGCTGACGTAGCCGAGCCTCCCAGTTTCGTTCCTGCCCCACGTGTACAGGCGCCCATCGCCATCGATGGCAGCCGAGTGAGCTCCTCCAGCCGACGCCTCACGAACCTCCTTCACTCCCTTCACCCACTTGGGCGTCATCGCGTTGTCCAAGTTCTCCATCCCCCTGATGTGCCCCAGCCCGAGTTGACCCCACGCCCCGAACCCGAACGCCAGCAGCTCTCCTCCTTGCAGCACCACCAGCGAGTGCAGGCCACCGGCAGCGACAACAGCAGCAGCGAACCCATGCAGATCAACCTCTCCTGCTTCTTGTGCGTAGCTGCGGAACGCTGGCGTCATCTTGACGTCCTCTAAGCTCCTTCCCAGTCGTCCAGCATCAGCTCGTCCGCACGTGAAGAGCTTTCCTTCCTCGCTGATCGCCGCCCAGTGGAAGAGCCCGCAGCTCACTGACTTCACCTTGCCGACCTGCACGTGCGCAGGAGCACACTCAGCGGCATCGTCGTTGAGCCCCCACACCCACAGGTCTCCTGCTTCAGCCTTGGCGGCATGCAGGCTGCGACTCCATGCCGAGCCCGCGAGTCGCTTCGCCTGCCAGAGCCTCTTGCACTTCAACATGCTAGACGAGCACCAGCTTTTGATGAGCACCAGCAGACCAGATGGACCAGCCTGAGCCCTGCGAAACCTTGCGGTCACCATCTGCTCTTCTCTTATCTCTTCCTCTTCTCCGACGCCTCTCCTCAGTCTCTTTGTCAACTCAATCCTCAATGAAACCATGCTGCAGTAACTGCTCTGGACCATGTTCGATGCTCATTTCAGCCCTATTCTAATTCTCATACTAGTTAGATCAAACGATCAAGCAGAGGAGAAGAGGGTTGGTGAGGGCTATGAGAGGAGATAATGAAAACAGGACGTGGGTGGCGACGAAAGGAGGAGAAGAGAAGAGAAGAGGTGGGAGCAGAACGACGAGGAGGAGGATGAAGGCGAAGAAGAGCAGGAGTGCAAGAGAGCAGGAGAGCAGGAGAGCAGAAAGAGGAGGTGAGGAGGTGAGAAGGGGAGCAGGAGAGCAGCAGAGCAGGAGAGCAGGAGAGCAGGAGAGCAGGAGGGCAGGAGAGCACGAGAGCAGGAGAGCAGGAGGGCAGCAGAGGATTCAACTATGTGCGAGGGCATTGCCAGCGCCGAAGCTTTTGGTTTACTCAACTTCAAATGGGATTGACGGGGGATGCGGGCCAGCAAGCGGGTGTTTGCGTGGGGATGAGGGTAAATGTAACGGTTCGAAACGGTGGGTTTGCGAAGGGACATGGCGGAGGGACGATGGCTGGCGCACGGGATTGGGATGGCGATGATGATGCTGGTAAGAGGAGCGAGAGGAGTGAGAGAAGTGAGAGGAGCGACGAAGAGATGAGCATGACGAATGAAAGAAGAGCAGAATAGTCAAGCTCTTGTTTGATATGACGAAGATGACGTATCATTTCTGTGTTGGGGAGACCACGTTGTTGCTGAATGTAGTCAACACAATTAGGGATAGAGATGTTTATTCAAGGGGTTTCTTGAGGATCTGGTTTAGATGCATCAGGCCTACGGTGTTTCAGTGTGTTGGAGGACTGTGGTGTTGGTGACCTTGCAACCTTTTCACTATTCAATGTCCAGGTGCTCGTTGTACTTGCCACGTTCGACTTCTCTGAGGTAGCGCCTGCTCTTCCTCCTCTGCAGCCCTCCTTGTCCCTCACAGTTTGTCATTCCTCCTGCCGTCCCAGACTTTTCCCTTCGCTCTTTATTGATCCTTCATCGTCTCTTCTTGGCTCTCCTCTTTGTTTCTCTTTCACTCCCCCGCCCGCACTGCCTCTTTCCCTCCTCTAAGTCGGTGTAGTTCGGAGTCGTCGGTCCATTATCGCCCGATGTCCTCCAGCAAGACCAGGAGGTCGTCAAGGTCTGTCCGCACTGCCCTGTGCTCCACCGGGCCCACAGCCAGCAGGCATGGCAAGGTCAAGAGCGGGGGAGGAGGGAAGCGCAGCGGGGCATACAGGCTCTCTCAGCTGTCAGCTCCTCTCCTCAGCCCTTCTCTTCTCCCCGCAGCTTCCAGGGAGTTCGTGGGAGGATGCAACAGCTACCTATCCGCGTGTCGGGCAGCGTCGACATCCCAGAGACGGCAGGAGCGAGCAGCATAACGCAAGTGAACCCTGCGGTAGCCATCCGCTTCACCCAGAGCCACGTCGAACCTCCTGCTCAGCCTCCCACCGTCCCTGAGGAGATCTGGGACGACGCACAGGCAACCAAGGAGATGGCGGACAAGCTGAAGCACGCGCTGACGAAGCAGGAGGGAGCAGACCAGGTCATGCAGGACAAAGTGAACAAGTTGCGCGAGTTCATCTCGTCCAACGCCAACTCGGTGGAGGAAGAAGCGAGCAGCATCGACTCGAAGCTCACCAAGCTGATCCAACAGAGGGCGACCCAGGGGCCCCAAGGGAAGCGAGGCGAGCCCGGTCAAGCCGGTCTCCCCGGGGCCCCTGGAGCTCCGGGAAGGAACGGGATGTTGGGAGCTGTCGGGGCGCCGGGAGCGCAAGGTGAAGGGAGCGAGCCCAGCTCTTGTCCTGCTGACCCCCAGCAGGCGTGAGAGGAGAGCGTGGCCCCACTGGTGCCGTCGGTCCTGCTGGACCAGCTGGTGAGGATGGACCTCGAGGACCTCAGGGCCCGGCCGGACCCCCGGGAGAGAAAGGAGGTGAGGAGGAGGAGGAGGAGGAGGAGGAGGAGGAAACCTGAAGGTCGTGCAGAGCTGGGTCGACAGGGGGCTGAGCCAGGCGCGTACCTTCACAGCATCCGACAGCCAGCGCTGTCCTCGTTCAACCCCAACCTGTGCCCCGACGGTGAGCAGGGAGAGGAGAGCCGGGGGGAAGGGGGGAAAGGTCTGCAGCAAGGGAGGGATGAGGTTGGAAAGGAGGAAGGAGGAGGTGCAGAGGAAGAAGAAGATTGAGGGATGGCGGGAGCAGAGGATGATGGCTGAGCAGGTGACAATGGAATCATCCGACTCGCGCAGTGCAATCACCGAGCATGCAGACTGGAGGTGCTGCACGAGAAGTAAGCAGAGGAAGAGGAGAAGGGAGAAGGTTGTGGTTGACGGATCGTTCAGTCACTGGGGAAGTGTCTGCGATGATGGTTTCGACAACACGAACGCGAGGGTGGTCTGCTCCTCCCTGGGTTACCCTGCACATAGAGCAGAGGTGAAGGAGGCGGAGGAGGAGGAGGGAGGAGGAGGGAGGCTGATGCAGCGCATAGGCTGTGCGAGCTATCGGCGGAGGATCGGGAAGAATCTGGTTGGATGACGTGAAATGCAAAGGAAGCGAGGAACAGCTGACGATGTGCGGCCATGCCGGTGAGAGGAGGAGG